CAGGAAAATAATCTTGTCAATTAGAATGTCCTTGCTAAATGAGGCTAATAGAGTGGGCTGTAAGTACCCGATACTTAGCTTTTGTTGACATGAGAGTGTTGAATGCAGTGGCCCATCCAGTTCATATCTTTGTTCAAACCCTGATTAAAGGTGTCAAATTTGCTGATGAAGACAAGTTCCGCAGCTTTTCTCTCCAGCTGGTTTTTGAAATTGCTTTGTAGCAATACAGTCACTTTTAGAACCATAAATGAGTGCCCCGGCTGAAAAAGTACCTCAGGAAAGCATGGGATAAAGAGCCATTGAGTCAGTTTTCTCAAAGAACTACAGCTAATGTATTTCCTTTTTTCCAGTGCTGCCTACACAGATCAACATTCCTAAGAGATAAGCAAGCAGTAAATCTGCATTCCACAATTATTCAATTAATTATTCCATGACTAGTCTCCCAAAATTGGCATCAAATCTACATGTTAAAAGTTAAAGGTATGTGTGAGACTCCTAAAACCAGTGCTATGTATCTCAGCTGTGGAAATATTACAGAGATATACCATTGAAGCAACTTTGGACTTAGTAGGATATCAGGTTGTCAATTAGGGTACGTCTAGACTACCGCGTTTTGTTGACAGAAGTTTTGTCGACAGTATCTGTCGACAAAACTTCCGTCGACAAAGAGCATCCAGACACATTGAGTTCTGTCGACAAAGCAAGCTGCTTTGTCGACAGAACTCCGTAGTCTGGACGCAGTGTTACAGGCAATAACACCGTCTGTTGACAGAACTCTGTCGACAGAAGGTGTTATGCCTCATAAAATGAGGTTTACCAGCGTCGACAAAACTGCTGAGTTCTGTCGACGTTATGTCGACAGAACTCAGCGGTAGTGTAGACGCTGGTATAGTTTTGTCGACAAAAGTCCACTTTTGTCGACAAAACTAGGTAGTCTAGACACACCCTTACTGTAAAGTCTGCCAGGTATCAAACATGTATGAATAATGTAATGCTTTTGGATACTCTTTTCAGCCAAGTGGAATGGATCTCTCTGAGAGAGCCCCTTCTGGAATTTCATGGGAAATCAACTTTTGCCCTAACACTGAGATGACTATACTGATGAACAAGGCCAGAAGACCAGTTTCCACTAGGCCTGAGATGTTTCAGAAGAACGTAAGATATGAGATGCTCTAAGAGCCAAGCAGAATTCAGAAAAGTCATGAAAGGAATAAGTTTGAGTCCAGGGAAAAAAGGATGGATGAACAGATCCAGAGAGCTCATGAAACTGTGGAAGTTGGACAGTCTAGGGCAGTGTTTCTTAAACTGATGAAGTTGGAAGTGTGCCGTGCAGAACAGAGTTCAAAATGGCCACACTTAAAGGGACAGGCGACTTTTTTTTTTGCTCAACGACTTCTCCCCAACTTTTTTTTTGGCTCAACAAAAAATCCTTGGTGTTCCACATAAAAAAAATATTGTTTGATCTTCCTTGGTCTTAAAAAGTTTAAGAAACACTGATCTAGGGACCTTATCACAGAGGTAATGCTCCACAAGGGACCTTATCACAGAGTAATGCTCCACAAGGGATTGCAATGAAGAACATGTTGATGCCTAACTTACTCCAGTAAATGTCCTAACATGGTAGGCTCTCTGTATGGCAAATGGAGATAAAATACAGTGGGTCTCTCTAGGACCAGATATCACAGATTCTAACTCAGCACAAAAAATATAAAAGCATGACTAGAGAGGTCTTAGCACCAAAGGGCATAAAGTTAGGACATCACCCACATTAGTCTCTTTCCATGCTTAGGAACTACTGAATATACATATAGCTTTAGTTTTGCTTTATCTTCCCCAAAGCCAAGTGAAAATGATAGAAGACAAGTTAGATTCATAACTCCTGTATTTTTTTCTCTCCCCCATTATTTAGAAGACTAAGTCTAGGCACCAGAAAATAACAATTAAACATGTGGACCTTTTAGTAGAGCTCAATGAAAATAAATCCTTACCTCCAACCTTTTATAATCTGGTTTGATAAACATAGTCATGGGATTTTGCTACACCAGTTTTACTAGCTGAGGATGCTTATTTTATGCAAATATCGCTATGGTGTTAAGGTGCCTTGCATGTGAATGTAGCCAGACATTCAGCACCACACTTACTCAAGTTTCCTTTAAACTCTTCAACAGTAAGAATTTAAAACAGCATTCCCATCTCTAATCCTTTTAGGGAATAGTACTGGAAAAGACAGAGGCAGATTCTGCCTGCATTGTGCACACTAAGGCATTTTAGTCATTATACATGAACATCAGTGCTTGACATCATGAAATTGCACAACACTTTAGGCATACAGCCAATCTTCTTGGTGGCCGCTGAGACAATAGAATCCACAGAAACAACTTCACCATCAGTCAGAAGAAACTGTTCAGTGGGGCTGGACCAAAATAAAACTAGCATGGCAGAGAGAGAGAGAGAGAGAGAGAGAGAGAGAGAGAGAGAGAGAGAGAGAGTGTGTGTGTGGGGGGGGGGGGGGGGGGGGGGGGGGGGATTGCCCAACTATGTCCATAATGGCACACAAAAGGTTTTTGTTCTTAATAGCACTAAAAACATTAAGGTAGGAAAATTATAGGGAAAATGTGTCAAAGATACTGCTAAGTTCTTTTTGTAGGGAATCAGAAGGAACTGAGGGGTGGATGCAGTCCTTTATATACACTTGATCTTGAGAAAGAAGCATGTATTGCCCCTACAGAGCCCAACTATGTCCATAATGGCACACAAAAGGTTTTTGTTCTTAATAGCACTAAAAACATTAAGGTAGGAAAATTATAGGGAAAATGTGTCAAAGATACTGCTAAGTTCTTTTTGTAGGGAATCAGAAGGAACTGAGGGGTGGATGCAGTCCTTTATATACACTTGATCTTGAGAAAGAAGCATGTATTGCCCCTACAGATACTGATGGCTAGGTTTCAAGCTTCGTATTTGTGGCATGCAACTCTCAGGGATGGGCATGCATGTTGGCAATACGGGAAGGACAAAATTCTGTTAATTATATTTTAAGTATGCCTAGCCCTCTAAAAATGGTATATTTCAGTCCTTAGGAACCCATTAATTTAATCAACTACATAACTGCCATAATCACCTCGAAAAGAGAGATAGATCTTCAACTTCCTTATTTCTGAAGTTGTTGTCTTACACCCAGATAATGTATTCAAAATGTAATATACTTAACCAATAACCAGTTGATGAATAGCGCCTTTTTGAATTTTTGCTGATGATTCAATATTTGCCTCATTCATTTTAAGAAATCCATTAACTGTATTGTTTTTAGAGCTATAATAGACTGTCTTCTTGTCCCACATCAGCACAGATGGTGATGCTGAATATATAAATTCCATCAACATAAAACCACTGGGAGGAGCATTTAAGGAAAAGTCTCTTAAGACCCACAAATCCAGGTCTTCATTATAAGATGACAGATAAAACACCCTAGAGGAGCTGCATCCAATGCAGGCCATCAACAAAGCAACTTCAGATGGGCGTGAGTCATAGCAAACAGTGCCTATAGATAAAGAAGCAGTTATTGGGAAATTTAGGGCCTTCTTTAGGTTTGTTGTATCTGTTATTTTAACAAACACATTGCCACCATATCCTAGATATTGTTCACTTGATGTCCATACTGCTACTGTACTTAATTTTCTTCCATCCTGTACAAAAAAATGGAACAAAGCTATTAGTCTGTACATCATCTGAAATGCACTATTAATCTATTCCCTCAAGCTTTGCATAAATTATACCACCAGTATCTCCATTAAAAAGTAAAATGCCTTTCAGCTGCTAGCTCCACTAGAGTCAAGTTGTTGTTATGGACTGGGATGTAAGTGGTCTGGCCTACTAGTCAGAGCATGAGTAATGTCTAGTACGCAGAGCAGGCATCTAGCTTAGAGAATGAAGCCAAGGGTCAACACCAGAGTCAACTGCCAGTTATCAGAGTCAGGGTCAAGCCCAAGTCATAATCAGGAATTGAAGCTAAGGATCAGAGACCAAATGTCAGAGCCATGGATCAAAGTAGAGTCAGGGTCTGATAACAGGCTGGAGTCAGAGCCAAAACTGATAATGGTGGTGACTGGAGGTAAGATGTAAGGGTATGTCTACACTACCCTCCTAGTTCGAACTAGGAGGGTAATATAGGCATACCGCACTTGCAAATGAAGCCCGGGATTTGAATTTCCCGGGCTTCATTTGCAGAAGCGGGGAGCCGCCAACTTGCAAATGAAGCCCGGGATTTCAATTTCCCGGGTTTCATTTGCATAAACTGGGCGCCGCCATTTTTAAATCCCTGCTCGTTCGAACCCCGTGCCGCATGTAGCCACGCGGCACGGGGTTCGAACGAGCAGGGATTTAAAAATGGTGGCTCCCCGCTTATGCAAATGAAGCCCGGGAAATTCAAATCCCGGGCTTCATTTGCAAGTGCGGTATGCCTACATTACCCTCCTAGTTCGAACTAGGAGGGTAGTGTAGACATACCCTCAGTGAAAAAACTGGTGGAGAGACAAGGATCAAGCACAGAGCAAGAGCATTGTGTTAACAGGAGCAAATGCAGTGGTAAGGAGTAACCATGAGCAGAAAAGGAAAAGGAATTGGTGTAGGAAGCCAACACAAGCAGGATCCAATAACAGAAAATAAAGTTGTTGCTTAGATAGACTTCCTGTGTCTCCTGGTTTAAATAGCATGGTTGGACCAATTGATGGAGCTGGGCAATCCACCAACATCAGATGTACCTTGGATGAGACTATAGTCCTACTAGTTTCTTGAACCATCAGATTTTAGCAGACATTAAGTGGGATGCTGCCTGGGGACTCCTAGGTCTGGGTTCATAGATTTGAGACATCATAGTCACAAACTTAAGCCCTCATCCTGGAACTAGTTCCATGTGGGTATTCCTCCGGACCCATGTAGCATTAATCATAGCATCAGGTACTTATTTTTAAATGACTTGAAAATTAAATTTGTTTCATTCAGTGCACTTCTCTTCCCCCCACCCCCATATAACAGATTTGGAATTAGGAATAAGTGATGGGTTCTTCCCCCAACTTAGTGAAGCACTCTCCTATTTAAAAATGTAAAACAAGAATTGTGTGAGATATACCTGTAATGGATACTCAGATGAACACCAAAGTCTTGACTGTATTCCAATTATTCCTGTTTCTGGTAGATTGTATTTAGATCCAAGTTTAAAAAACCGATTGGACTCTCTTTTGTAAACTGTCCCCATTATTAAAAATAAGATTCCATCATCAGTTAAAACAATATCAGTTACGTTATGACTTGAGTTAAAGTCCAAAACATGTGGCGGAGCTTTGATTTCTTTATAAGTTATGAATCCATCATTTGTATGAAAAGTTCCAAATTCTGACAACAAAAGTGCATTTGTAGGAATACATGCAGACCACACAATGTGGAGGTCACGACCAGCCGGGGAACAAAGGGAATTATCATATGCATTGTTAGGAAATGGCTCTTCAGGCCTGGAAATGACAAAGGGACTATCTTGAACAAAGCAGTCCTGAAAAGCTATTTGCTTTCCATGGATATTAGTTATGATGTCATCTGACACTGCAGGTACATTAATTTTCCATACTCTGAAAATGGAAGAAATGACAGATAAATTAGCAAGAATTAAACTTAATATCAGTTTAAGAAAAATAATTCCCTGACAAATTTCAGAGTTTGTAGCAACTCTAAAACAATTTATTTCCCATTTCTTTTTAACAATTTCTCCTCAAAATACCACTCCCCAAAATTGTTTCCTGCTAGTCCTCAATTCCCACCAAAATTGAAATTAAAATAAAATGAGGGGAAAAAAATCTGCCTCCAGTGGGACTTTAACAGCAGCCAACCCTCTAAGGTTCAGTGTCTCAGTGAAAGCTAGGATCATACATCTCTGAATGATCTCACATAAGCGAGCAAGAAATGTGTTTGCTCTGGAGCTGAAAGCACAATGACTGGTTATGATATGACATCATGGATTACTGTGGCAATAGCAGATAGAGACATTATTATAGTCATTTTTATCACGAACAGTAAAAGCTGCATTACTTTCTAAAATGAGTTTCCTAACTTTTGGTCACACTGACATTAGTTTAGTAGATAAAAAAGGCAAGTTATTTAAATAAGGATATGAATTATTTGGTCACAAGTTACTTGGTTTAGTGTTTAGCTCAGGGGTGGGCAAAATATGGACCACTGGCTGGATCGGGCTTGCCAAGCCACCGGATCCGGCCCACAGCTCAGCAGGAGCTTCAGGCAAGGTACCTGCCCACTCCTGCAGGCCACTCAGAGTGGCTGAATGCAGGGGCCATGTGATGCCCAGAGCGCTGCTGCGAGCTGGTGGCAGAGGGGAGGCTTCATCTGCTGTTCCAACCCCAGCACAGTCTTGCAGCTCTGGCCAACTGGAGTTGCCTGTTTGCAGGGTAGGCAGCATGTGATGCCCCCTCTCCAGGCTTGTGGCATTCAGAGCAGAACATGGCCCCTGCAACCAGCAGCTCTGAGTGGCATGCGGGGGCATGGAAGACAGGGAGCCTGCCTGACGGACATGCTGGACTGCTGACTGGGAGCAGCCTAGGAAAGCGCCTCCTGGCCAGAGCCTGCCTCTGGCACCCCAGTCCCTTCCTCCCCAAACCCTCTGCCCCCTCTTCTATACCCCTGTCCCATGTAACTCAACCCCTGTATCCCCTCTTGCACCTTTACCTCATGTAACTCAAACTCCCCGCATCCATACCCCCTTGCAGACACTGCACTCAATCCACTAGCCCAGATCGCAACCCAAATCCCTGTCCATCCTCCTACACCACTGCTCTAGGTCACAACTGTCTCCCAGACCCTGCACTCCCCCTTCTACATTCCTCCCGCAGGTCAGAACTTCTATAAAAATAGATTTGTTTTAATAACATATGAGATAGATGGATAGGAGAAAAAACAGCCAAATTCTGTCTTTAGATATACACATGCAACTGCTATTGATTTCAACTGGGGTTGCCAGCTGTCAGTAAATTCACGGACATGCTCTTAAAAAAGAAAAGAAAAGCTACATTTGTACCCAAGGGCAATGTGTAGGGCAGGGGTGGGCAATAATTTTTGATGGGGGGACCACTCCAAGATTTTGGAAAGTGGTCAAGGGCTGCACTCCTCCATGATATTAATGGAGGAGGTACAGGGTCTGGGATGGAGGTTGGGTGCAGAAGGGAGCTTGGGGGAAGGGAGAGAATTTGGGTGAAGGAGGCAGTTGTGACCTGGGGCACTGGACTGGAGTACAGGGGGTTGGATTTTGACCTACAGCAAGGAATTGGGGTACAGGAGGGGGTGCAGGGGATTGAGGTGCAGGGGTCTGGGTTGTGAGCTAGGGCAGGAGGTGACTGTGATCTGGGGCAGGGGACTGGGGTACTAGATCTGGGAGGGGCTATGGGTGCAGGAGGGGGGCAGAGGATTAAGGTATGTGGAGTAGGGTGCAGGAATGGGGGAGCAGGGGGTTGAGGGAGGGAAGGACAGGAGTACCAGAGGCAGGCTTTGGCCAGGAGACTTACCAGCATGCAGCACAGGACTTTCCTGAAGCAGCCTCCCTGCCTGCCTTGTCCCTACACAGGCTGCAGCCATGTGCTCTGTGAATAACCAGAAGCCCTGGAGGGGAAGGGGCTTCTTGGCTGCCTGTTATTGAAACAGGCAGTTCCCATTGGCCAGTTTCTGGCCAAAAACTGGCCAAACTGATTGTGCAGGGTGTGGGAGTAGCTCCTAAAGCCTTCCTCTCCCCTCACCTCCAGATTCACAGATTTTATAGCAAAAGCGCCTGGCAGTCGTGTTTCAGAGTAGCATGCGGGTAGGGCGAGGCAAGCAGGGAGCCTGCCTGGGGCTCCCTGCTGCATCCATGGGCTGCATCTGGCCTGGCAGGCCATATTTTCCCCAGGCCTGCTATAAGGCCTGTTTATTTTTTCAGGCTTGTCTTGAAGCTGGGGATTAATGGAGGTGCAGTGAATGGAAGGTAAGCAGTAGAATTGGAGACAATGCAGCCATTGGTGATTTTTAAATTTTTACATCAATTTATACAGGCACCTACACTTTAATTTAGATACAAATTTTAAATGGATTCATATATAAATAAAAAGCATGACATGAAACAAACTCTCTGCTTCTGCCCTGTTGTGGTCTGGCTGCATCAGGATGGGAAAAGTGGAAGAGATGAGGCAGAATAGTGGGGACAGGGACCACAGCAAGGAAAGTGGAAGAGATGGGGCAGAGACAGGGGAGTGGTGGGACTTAGGGCGGAGGGTGGCATGTGACTGGTTGCGGGGGGGTGGCATGTGACTGGTGTCCCCCCTGGAGCGTCCCTCATCAATTGCCTTTCATTGGACCTATTCATAAAATCTATAAAAATGTTTTAGATATCAGTAATAAACCACCAAGCTTTGCAGTGGAGCTTTGCAGAATCCCTTGGGAAGGCCCCAGAGGCAGCTATTCTCAGGTTAGGGGCAGGAGCAGAGAGGGGCATTCTCCTGGCAGAGGTTTCCTCTGGCTTGTTGCTGCCTGGTAGGGGCTGCTCTTTTCTGACTCTGGCTTTGAACTCTTCTTCTGTGTCACTAGGGTCAGCACAGTAGCAACTTTTGGTGGGCCCTTGTATGCAGCACACATCCTTGATTAGGGTTGCCAGATGATTTCAGAAAAAAGAACCAACCAACCAAACAAAAAACACACCTGGAAAAAATTAGTTGAGCAAAAAAAATAAAAAGAAAAAAAAAAGTGGCCCCTTTAAAAACCACATGGCAAGGCTTTTTGGCCCTAACAGGCGCCTGGCTGGACAGCTCTAGGCTAGGGTTGCCAGGGTAAGCACTAGGGTTGCCAGGCTGCCTCTGTATTGAGCCGCACAGCCTGGGATTTTCGCCTCCTGGCCAGGAAAAAAAAAAAAATCAGGAAAAAACGGACATTTTAGGTGTCCGGTATTTTCTGAATTTTTTACCAGACAGGAGGTGAAAATAATGGATTGTCCAGTTCAGTACCGGACACCTGGCAATCCTACTCTAGCAAGACACTGAGAAGGAACAGAGCACAGCAGGCCAGAAGCAGCATCCTTCACAGTCCCCGCCATTAAGTCACAATAGGGTGGTCACTGGGAGTGGCACCCGGTCTCAGCCAGGCAAGTGGTTCCTAAGTGTCCTCTCCCAGATTGGGAGGAAGGCCCAGAGCGGGGACGGTTTGGGCTGGGGCTAGGGACTGTAATAGCAATAGAACTGTGTTTGTATGCATATGGACTATTGCTCACTTTTGTATTGAACTCTTCTTCTGTGTCACTAGGGTCAGCACAGTAGCAACTTTTGGTGGGCCCTTGTATGCAGCACACATCCTTGATTAGGGTTGCCAGATGATTTCAGAAAAAAGAACCAACCAACCAAACAAAAAACACACCTGGAAAAAATTAGTTGAGCAAAAAAAATAAAAAGAAAAAAAAAAGTGGCCCCTTTAAAAACCACATGGCAAGGCTTTTTGGCCCTAACAGGCGCCTGGCTGGACAGCTCTAGGCTAGGGTTGCCAGGGTAAGCACTAGGGTTGCCAGGCTGCCTCTGTATTGAGCTGGACAGCCTGGGATTTTCGCCTCCTGGCCAGGAAAAAAACAGAAGGTATCGGACATTTTAGGTGTCCGGTATTTTCTGAATTTTTTTTACCAGACAGGAGGCGAAAATACCGAACTGTCCAGTTCAATACCAGACACCTGGCAACCCTACTAGTTTTAAAGGACAAGAGCACAGCAGGCCAGAAGCAGCATCCTTCCCCCCCCCCGCCATTAAGTCACAATAGGGTGGTCACTGGGAGTGGCACCCGGTCTCAGCCAGGCAAGTGGTTCCTAAGTGTCCTCTCCCAGATTGGGAGGAAGGCCCAGAGCGGGGACGGTTTGGGCTGGGGCTAGGGACTGTAATAGCAATAGAACTGTGTTTGTATGCATATGGACTATTGCTCACTTTTGTACTTTTGAGCCATCTTTATATTATGTAAGAACGTATCCATAAAAATATTTGGTTGTCCATAATTTTTTCTATACAGTTCATAAAAATTATATCCAGCAGTTGGCAACCCTGATTTCAATCCAAACTGTGCATACATAATTCAAAGGCAAAATTTGGTCCATACAGCAGAAGAATGAAGTAATAATACTGTCTATGTGGGCATGCATCAGCATTACTGGAGAAACAAATGCTATTACTCTATATGATGAGCAATCTTGTTTTTCACTCTCTTTTATTTGGTTCTTCATACTACTGCCATAAGATTAAGAACAGGTTAAAAATAAGACAGAAAATAGATATTACACCTCACTTTGCCATAACAACAATTTACTAAAACTAATAGCAATAGAACTGTGTTTGTATGCAATGGCTATTGTTCACTTTTGTACTTTTGAGCCATCATTTACAAAAGGATTTACCCAATTTGCCAAAAATGCCTCTATTCCTTTGGTTAAGTAAGTGCAAATATTACCGTCTTCGGGGTATTCTGAAATTTTATTATGAATCCAAATGCAACAATTGCAGATTTCCTGTAGGGTGAATATTAGGGAAAGCCTTTTTCTGATGACAAATTTCTTAGATACAATTATGTGTTGCTATATTGCCACCTAGCGATGAAATGAATTAGATCCAATTGAAAAAAAAAGTCTGACAAAGATGACACAACTAGGTCAAATTCAGTCTGTAATCGAAATGTAACAGTGTTGTAAAGTAAACAGCGTTAGTTATTTGTTGAATGTAAACATGTTAAAAAAAGACAGTAAGATGCAAATTAGTGTAATTTATATTAAAACGGTATTGAGAGTGTGTAAAGCAACTGCAAATTAAATGCCAAAGGGACAGCATTCCTATTAACTTCAATGAGCATTTGCGCAGGGCAGAATGTTGTTATCACAGTGTCACATTGATGGAGAACACACTTGATTTGCACATCCACTGAATAAAATAATCAGTGCAAGTTATTCTCCTTCACCATGTGTATGTATTTTCTGATTAGCTCAAGGTATAAAGTATACTATCATTTACATCCCTGCCGAATTTGGCCTTTAGTATTTCTGTTATATATTACATAGTTTTGTAAATATTATAGCATAAGAAATTAAATATTTTGGTGCAAACAATGAAGAAAATAGAGAAATAGACAATGGGAGATTTAGGGTTAAAATTAATATTCCTACTGACAAAAAAATAAATATAAAAAGAAATACTGCAAAGAGGCTTCACTGAGGATTCAACATACTGCTACTACACAGAGGGGGAATAGAAGAACATAGGGGATAACCAAGCAGTGTCCCTAAAGTATTCTTAACAGTCAGCTATACATGGACATATGAATTACTATTATCTGGATGTTCTCATCCACTAGAAATTTTCTATAATGTCACATGTCCTTTGGAGAATCTTTACATTACTTTTACAGGGAGATTCAGGAACGAGAAAAGATGTTGACCTACTCACCACACAGTTTTAATCTGGATGAGAGGGAATGGTTCAAAATGCTATTTAAAAAACCTGAAGATCAGCCAAGAAGGAAAGAAATATAACTTGGAGGAGAGAAAAGGAAGGAATATCTGATTGGAACACTTATTTTTAAGAAGGTGGTGAGTTGAGCAGAGCACTACGGATAGGCTCTCTTTCTCTGTTATTTATTTGTACCCTGGACCTCTTACTCCACTCATCTGAAGAAGTGGGTTGTGCCCTTGAAAGCTCATAATACCATCTACATTTTTTGTCAGTCTCTAAGGTGCTGCAAGACAATTTGTAGTTTTTTTAAGGTTTTACAGATAGGCTGTTAAGTTCCAAGGAACTGACATGAATTGGGGGAAAGAAAACTGACCTTGAAAATGCTAACTACCTATAAGCTTGATAATTAAGCTTCTCAGCACATTATAAGTGAAGCTTTTTGCAGTTTTAGGCCTGAGTCTTGCAATACACTGGCCAATGATGTTCATGTATGTTTAATCATACACTTGGGTAGTAGTGAAGTATAGGATTGAGGCCATGGTCTACATAAGAACAAATAGATGTTCTGTTTTTTACTGTTTCTTCACTCTTTCTAAAATAATAAGCAGCTTCTTATTTAAATGGAATCATAATTTAGATGTAACTGCTAAGGTGAAGGGGAGCAAGGGCTGACTGACCATGCTGGGAAATGACAGGCTCTGAGTCTTCCCTCACTCAAAGAAGGAAGTGTATACAGGTCATATTGCTATTCACACACAAAAGCTACCTACCATTAGAAAAGGAAGTCAAGGAGGGGCCACAGTTTCTAGCAATGATGTGTCACAATAGCATTGTCAGTTTTCACATTTTGGGGAGCTGGGCACAAGTTACACAGTCACTAAAAGAGGTGCCATATTGTGTAGGCATCTGTCAGCTTCCTTCTCCAGGCAAGGCATATCAGTGATTACTAAAAATTTGGACAAAAGGAATTTAAAGTCTTTTCTCAGTTGAGTTCTTTGTCACCAAGTCACCAAAGTACTTTGCACCGAGCAAGGACGTCATTAGGGTCTCTATATAATTCACTGCAGAAGGACAGTTTCTCCCCCAGTCTGACACTGAAAGGAAAATTTCCAACAGATTCCCAGGATCCAAAAAAGACTCGGAGGTGACTGCCCTTTGCAAATTCTCAATCTCTTCCATACTGAGAAGTGATAGAAATGTAGCCGTGTTAGTCTGGTGTAGCTGAAACAAAATACAGGACTATGTAGCACTAACAAGATGGTTTATTAGATGATGAGCTTTCGTGGGCCAGACCCACTTCCTCAGATCAAAGTACTCTTCTCAGTACTGAGAAGAGTACTAAACCAGGGGTGGAGAACCTGGCTTGCCTGGATCCTGCCCCCAAGGCTTGGAGCTCCCCTCCAGCTTTGGGGAGCCTGCACTGGCACTCCATGCTCCACCGCCCTTGCTAGCTGACCAGAGGGCTGGAGCAAAATCTGCTTGCCTGGGGGTCAGCAGCCCCTGACTCAAAAAAGGTTCCCCACCCCAGTGCTAGATGAAGGACACTCCATTCCCTGGAAGTTCTGTTATTTTCAACATGTTTTTTTTCTGCTGGTATGTTCAATATAGCTGTTCGTTATTGCCATACTAGTTGGTGTCATTATAATAAACTTTCAGTATCTTTTTCTTCAGTATATATTAACAAAAACAGGCCAAAATGACTTAGTTATACATTCAACTAAGCTAAGCGTTGCATAAGATGCTTACATTCTAATATCCACATAGCCATAATCTGTGCAATCATATGGGTGTGTGAAAAATAATTTTAAATAGAATTCTGTTCACAAAAAAATTAAATGAAATACAGTACCCCAAAACTGGAAATGCAGTAGCAAAGTATATGGTATTTCTAAAATAGGTCTGAACAACAGGTTCCTGTCCCAAATTCCAAAACTGCTTGCTAAGTGTCTTAGAATACTGTTTAAATAAAATAAAGATTGTTAGTTATATTTTGAGGTCAATATAGTCTACGCTGTACATAAGAAATTTTAGGAATAAAATATCCTTGAAATAACATTCTAAACTCGCAGATAAGGGCACATTATTCACATATTTAATCCACACTAGAATACAATTTATTTGGAGCCAAAAGTAACTTTCTTTGTAATATTTACTAAAGTATATATATCAGGGAATTTAAAAAACCACAGAAATCTAACAACTATTTATGGAAAATGTATGTTCTTCTCCAAGTTTCAGTACTTCAACTAATAAGATAATTTTAATTCTAGGAACTCTGGGGAAAATCAATACATGATAATATTAAAGAAATTCTAAAAGATGCCAAAGGGAAGCAATACAGCATGACAATTTATAATAATTCCTTTGTCACGAATGCACACCCTACGGTAAGGCATGATGCCAAAGGCTAAATATCGTCAATCACCCCACAATGTATCAGGAATGCATAATCTGAAACGGTTTATTGCATATAAACTCTATAAGCTCATCTATGTAGGAAGAATTTTGTGTCACATGTATTCCCAATGGGTGCAAGAATCATTTGCTCATATCAGCTTGTGGGATGAAAGCCATAAAGTAACTACTTAAATTTTTAAGTCCAGTTCTAATTCTAAATGCAGTTTTTAAAATGACATAATGGGTTTACTGCTTATTATGTCTTGTTACTGCCATCTATAATGATTGTTAAAACAAAAAGTAAAATGAGATTTTTTTTCCTGAGTGTCAGTCATGCACATTTACTCAAGAATCTGAAAGTTGGATCTTTCCTTCTCACATACCACCACCAGGAGCAAAAAGGCTATAAGCTAAATTCTGATTCTCCTTATCACAAGTGTACTGAGAACAGAATTTAGTTCTGCCACTGGAATTTAGCTAACAAATCTGTTTTAAATGCTGAGATAGAAATAAAACCACCTCACTCTCCAATAATAGTGTGTTGCCTCTGTAGTATTAACTTCAACACAAAGTACCAAAAACTTATTTTTGTCCCTATGTTAAGCTGCAATAACTATGGGTGCACATAGGCAGCATTTCTGATTAAGAAGACAGTGCCATTTTTCATTAGTAGACCTGCACTTTCAATACCATATTTTTAAGAGAAAACATAAAACTATTTTAACATACTAGTGGAGGAGATATTGCAGTGTGATTCAGTTCAGAGGGATCTGCGTTTTCTGGATCGTACACCCATAAGGTTAACTCCTAGCAAATAAAAAAGGTAAATAATAATATTTTGTTAATATGCTGTAGCTGTGGTCCAATTTCTTTAGATGACTAGATGCACACTGCAATGTAGTAACAATACCATATAAGGAGCATTAACTTGGACAGTGTCAAAATTAAGTCTTGAGCTGATCTTACTCAGACAAAAGCAAAGCTCCCATTGACTTCATGGGTAATGGAGCCCGAGCAGATCCACATCCACATCCACATCCTCATGGAAAGGGAGTTACTTCCTTTTTCTATCTGTCCCTCAGCAGTACTTCACATACCATAGTCCCTCTTATTTGACTAGGGCCATGCTACTTTTCAATCCCTCTGCACTATGGAGAAGGATTAGAATTGGGCATTTAACTCTAAAAAGAAAGAACAAATACATCTTTAAGCAGGGAGATATTAAATGTATCTGTTTTTTCTGCCTCCATGATTGTTAGAGGTCTTCAAGCTGTTTGTCCTTGGATTTTCCCCTCAAAGACATAACCATTTCTGATCAACTATGTGGCCCATATCAGTCAGCCAGAGAGGAACTCAATCCTTTGCTGGGTCCCCGCCCCAGTCTGAACATCCATATTGCAATTAAAAGCCCAGTAGCCTGAGCCATAGAATCTTGGCATCTGCCCCTATCTAGAGGGGTAAGTTTGGGTAACTGTAGCAACATTTTCAGAGGTGGCTAAGCACAATATCCCTCATTCCAAGGATATGAGTAGGCTTCCACTACTCTGGAGTCCAACTAAGCTGCGTCTGTTTGGCAGTCTCTACATACAACAATGACCTGAATTTTCTCCATTATAAACCATGATGAATGTTCTTTTAGTTTCCACATTTTCCCCACCAAACACAGTCTCTCTCATAGAAAAAAAAAGATAAATGATTAAATATGTAATTTATTTGGCAAATTTTGTGAAATAACTATAGTTAACAGACTGAATGATAGGCCATGATATTTTATGGTATATTAAAATTTTTACACAGACTCACTAAAAAAACCCTTGTTTAGGCATGAAATACACATTTCGTAAAGCTCCAGAAAACACAAATATAAGAAGGAGAAATAATAAATAACTGACCTTTCCTTCCGAATAAATTTGTATCAAATCACTATTTTAGAGAAGTAAGAAATGACTTTCAAGTTGAGGTTAGTTAAAACATGACAAAAAAAATAGAAATGAAAAATAAAAATTTACCTGGCTATCATTTTGTGAGGATGGAACTGAGCTATAAAAAATAAAATAAAACCGTAACTTTTAAATATAACAAATAACCACTGCTTTGTAAAAGAAAAGAAAGGTTACTTACCGTATAATAGTTTCAGTTCTTTGAGATGCTCTGTACACGTTGATCCCTCTCTTAGCACACATGTACCCCGCATGTAGGAATTTGGAAAGTTTTAAGCAGCAGTGTCCATTTGGCCTGCACTAGTGCCACCATGGAAGCCCTTGTGCACTTCCCTCCCCAAGCACAAAAAGGGCAGATCATCCCCAGATGCCATTGAGTTCCTTCACTCCACAGAATCCCAGTTTGAGACTCAGAGCTGCAGAGATGGAAGGTGGTTCATGGAATCTACATGTCTAGAATATCTTGAAGAACTACAGTAATGTTAAAGCAAGTACTTTTTTTCTTTGAGGATTTGTACCTGTGGATCCCACTTTGGTGATTAGCTAGAAGGTAACTCCTTTAGGAGGTGGGATTTATTTATCGAAACAAATTTTGTAGCACTACTTGACCAAACTGAGCATCTAATCTGGAAGCCGAGACCAAGATGTAATGGTTGGTGAAAATGTGGACAGAACTTACTGTAGCCACTCTGTAAGTTACAACTATAGAGGCTCTGGTAAAGCATGCTGCTGAAGCTGCTTGAGCTCTGGAAGAAAATGTCTTAACTGTAGGGTACGTCTAGACTACATGCCTCTGTCGCCAGAGGCATGTAGATTAGGCTACCCGACATAGTAAAATGAAGCAGCGATTTAAATAATCGCCGCTTCATTTAAATTTACATGGCTGCTGTGCTGAGCCGACAAACAGCTGATCAGCTGTTTGTCAGCTCAGCGCGATAGTCTGGACGCGCGGGTGTCGACATCAAAGGTATTTGTCGACCACCCAGGTAAACCTCATCCCACGCCGGTCTTTGTTAAGCCCCCTGCGGAGAATGTCGAATTTTAGCATGAATGACAGTTCAGAGGATTCCCTTTCAAGTGCAGATTTGAAAGTCTTCTGGAGTAGGATGCAGGTAATTAGGTCGTTGAGACAGTGTCCTTTCTGGTTGAAATGGCAAGAAACTGTTTTTTCTTTGTGATCCTGTCTAATATCTGTTTTGTGGGCATTGATGCTTTGGCGAAGTGTCTGAGACGTTTGTCCAATGTACATAGCAGACGGACACTTTCAGCACATGATAGCATAAATTATATTTCTGGATGCGCAGGAATATGTGTTCTTGATCTTATAACTCACTTGGTTAGGCCCAATAATGGTATCAGGAGAGAAGGAACTGAGAGACAGTTAATGGGGTATGCTGGTTGAACACTCACAATGCCATAAGATAGCACCATACATGCACCACCACCCAGGGTACTGCTGCTTTAAATCTATGACTATAAGTAAAGGGCACCAAAACACCTACAGTGGAGCACCACAGGGACACTCCTTGAAGAAGAAAGTAAATTTGTCAGGCTTCATAGGAATTAGTGTTACATGACAGCAAACCCTTTGCCAGAGGGCATTTAGGGGCTGTTAGGGTCACACGTACTAAGTAGAAAATAGAAGTACCAAATTTAGCATGAAGGTTATTATTAGTTATCATGCCAGAACTGACACACAGGGCTGATACTAGTCTCTTCCATCCTTCTGTTATGTACTGCTGCCTCCATCTGCTCCTTGTTGTTGAGATTGATTGTTTTGCCCTCCCTGCTAAGGGTGTTCCGAAGGTTTCTCTTGTGAGCCCATGTTTCCACACATCAGTTGGCAGTTTAACAGCTTCACGTGTGAATCTTTGTGTTGGCATCCAGAGTACATCTCCCAAATATGTCCAGCACTTCTTTCTAATTCTAATGGAGATGAGGTTATATTTCAGTGGGGAGGGGCAACCTAAACCTGAGAAGGAGCCAGAATTTATCAATGCACATTGCTAAAGAGCAACAGTTCTGTGTCACCAGCCCCGATCATCTCCCCACCACCACTCTCAGCACATCCTGCCCACTGGCAGCCCCACCGGTCAGCGCCTCCTTCTCCTTTTCCTCCTGTCCACTGTGATCAGCTCTTTCTCAGTGGGAGACACTGGAGGGGGAAGCATGCGTGTGACAGGCTGAGTGGAGAGGGAGGGAAGTGGCAGGATCCTAGGGGGAAAGGGTGGAAGGGGACAGCACCTAGAGTTGAGCTGTGGGTTGAACAGTGAGCACCCTCCGGCCCAGTGGAAAGTTGGCACTTGTAGCTCCAGCCCCGGATTTGGTACCTTATACAAGAAGTCGCATATTAACTTCTGAAAAGCCACATGTGGCTCTGGAGCCACAGGTTGGCCACCCCTGTTATATTTAGTTATCAACTTTTAGCTAATAAGAATCAATCCTTCTTTAGGAAAATAACTAAAATATACAAATGCAAAAAGTTAAACATTTATTATTTAAATCAAAGTTTCCTGCTTGCTAATGTAATTATTATTAAAATAGGCGATATAAGTTATTTGGATTTAAATCAATCCAAGCTGCGTGGCACTCATAACCAAAGAGCATAAGAGGATAAGAGGAGTAGAAAAAAACGTATATCCTTTGGATGGAACTCGATATCTGCAGACCTCTCTCTTAAATATTGCAGATATCTGTGCAACCCATAGATTTTTAGGCCAATCCAAAATACCTTTATTTATTGACCTCACAACTCTGAGGGAATGTGTACACTGCAAAGTTAATTCAAAATAACAGTCGTTATTTCGCATTAACTTTAATAGCGTCTATACATGTAAACCGCTATTTTGAATTTAATTCGAAATAGTGGAACACTTAATTTGAATTTGGTAAACCTCATTCTACAAGGAGTAATGCCAAATTCAAAATAGCTAATTTGAAATAAGTGTTGTGTAGACACTTAATTCGAATTAGCTGGCCTCCAGCCCTTCCCAGGTTCCCCCTGGTGGCCACTCTGGGCCAAACCAGGAAAACTCCTCTCCTTTCCCCCAGCCTTGAGGCCCTTAAAGGGGTAGTCTCTGGCCAGACGGCACTTGCCAGAGCCAGCCCTGCCAACAGTCTCTGCCCCTGACCCAGTGGCCCCACCATGAGCCGGGTAGCCAGTGCCAGCCAGCCGTCCCCCGCCCAGTCCCCCAGCACCCACCCAGCCAGGGGTCGTAGACGCTGTGCTCCCTCCTGGACTAGTGAGAAGATCATGGACCTCACTGAGGTTTGGGGGCAGGCCCCCAATGTCCATGATCTCCGCACTAGACGGAGGAACACAGCCATCTATGGCCGCATAGCTGCAACCATGGCCCAGAAAGGCCACAGGCGCACCCAGGAGCAGGTGCGCCTGAAAATTAAAGGGCTGCAGCAGGGGTTCGCCAGGGCCACTTGGGGCAGCTCCTCAGCAGGGGCAGACACCTGCCCCTATTTTGACGCCCTGGACCGCATTCTGGGGGACGGTGAGGTCCGTGCCACCCCGGGGGGGCAGCTAGACAGGACCGGAGGGCCCTGACCAGGGCGAGGAGGAGCCGTCGCCACACCAGCAGGTCCCCGTGGCAGTCCCAGGAGAGAGGAGTCAGCAGGATTGTCCGGGGAGGCCACACCATGTAAGTGCCGTCACTGTCCCCTTCCTGCGGGGGGAGAGGGGGAGAGGGGGAGCAGCGGGAACAGGAAGAACAGGAGTTCTGGAGGGAGCTGCTTGCCCAGGGTCGTGCCATCTGCACCCATCTGCAGACCCTGGTGCAGAGAGTGCTGCCTCGTGCTGCTCCAGCGCCTGCTGGCCCCCCCCCCCCCCGCCACATTTAATTGTATCCTTTGGTATATATGGTTGTGACTATTTTCTTCCACTATTTGATCTGAGGAAGTGGGTCTGGCCCACGAAAGCTCATCATCTATTAAACCATCTTGTTAGTCTTTAAAGTGCTACATTGTCCTGCATTTTGCTTTAACTTGGACAGCATCTCTTCACAGCTCTTGGAGACCTGAACTGGCTGCTCTTCTTCTACCCTGAGCCCTGAGCTTACCTTCCCTCTTGTTTCCCCCTTCCAGCTCCCTCCTCCCAGGTTTTCCTCTCCCCTCTCCCACCCTCTCTCTCCCCCTCTCCCACCTCCTTTTCCCAGTCTCCCTAGAGGTTCAACTCCCCCCCCAGTTTTGTTCAATAAACCCAGTTTCTATTTTTGAACATACGTGTCTTTTGTTTGACATCAGGAAGGGGGGCTAGGGAGGGGTAAGTGGAAGGACATGAGGGAGGAATAGGGCACGAGGCCCCAGTGGGGAGGACCAGGGAGGCTCTGAGGTCTCCTTGGGGTGGACATTCTCCTGCAGGGCCTCTTGGATCCTGACAGCCCCTCCAATGGACTCCCCGGATGGCAGCCTGTGGCAAGCACAGCCGGGCTGATGGCCAAGTGCTATGATATGCCGAGTGAGGGCACTCAGGGCTCTCTAAGACAGGACTGCTTTGCTGTCCCTCATCGAGGTAGACAAGGAAGAAACCCTGAGAACTGTCTGTCCGGGGTGGGTGGGTGGGGGGGTGGTAGGGTCCCTTTAAGCATGGAGCTCAGTTAGCCTCAGGCAGCAGCCCCACATACTAAGTCCTAACCTGATGCCCTGCCGGCACTGGTTCCGGCCAGCCTTAACTTCGGTTCAGGGTCCACTCAGTGTGGATGCGGTATTTCAAAATAGCAAAATGCTATTTCGAAATAGTTTTTGTGTATAGATGCGTTATTTTGAATTAGCTTAATTCAAATTAACTATTTTGAATTAAGTTAACTCGAATTAACGCTGTAGTGTAGCTATAACCTGTGGTACTGACTGAAAAATATAAAAAAATGTGTAAGATTTCCTTCAGTTAGCTAAAGAGGAATCTCAAGCATCATTGCCTTCCTCTTTAGGAAGTTTCAGAATGCTCTGAAGTCATCCACTGTCAATGGGGTAGAAGGAATAACTGGTCTCTTGTTCTGGTCTGGTGCTCCTGTACCTCCATTAAAGTTGCTTTCCCCCTTCACTCTTTCACGATGAGTGGAGGGATGTTCATGGGCCACTTCACTTTGAATGGTC